CAAGGTTCATTTGAATCCAACTTGCTCGGGCATGCACGTACCTATGTCGAAAGATATTTGTCCCAAATGTCTGTCCTCATTGAAGAAGAATAAGAAGGCTTAAAGTCAGCCAGTTCGTTTCGAGCTTTGTGTCCAAGAGGGGGCGAAGAAATTCCATGCCGGGATGTCCACCTCGCTCGATGCTTGCAGTTTGCGATGCATAAATTTCGTTTAAGTTTTTTGTGAAAGATTTGGAACCTGGCGGTAGTACAACATTTTGTTTCTTAATTGTTTAAAAGCGATTTGTAGCGTAGTCGGAAGTTTTGAAAGAGTTCTTTGCGTGTGGAGATACTGTAAGAGACTTTTAATATGTTTTTCGTGTGTTCTTTGTATAGTTTAGTGCTACGGGATATGTTTTGGCTCAAGGCCAATTCGTTCGGCTAGTGTGAGAAAAGAGTGCGAGTGTCTGAGAGCAGCTTGCGCAGCGTTTGAAGTTTTCCGAAGTGTTCGGAGGTTTGAAGGAAAGGTTTCGTACCGTACCGGACGAGTGTGAGAGCTTGTTGTGAGCTAAAGATCCAGGGGAGGTAGGTAGTCTACCGTGTAAGGTTGCTACCCGGGGTTTTTCGAACTTCATCGTTCGCCAGTACTTCACCCAGGCGGAGCACAAGGGTAGTTGCGGCGCAGAGTCAAAGCCATCTGAGCACCCTCGGACGACGCCGATCGAGTGCTACCTCATGCCTTCTCGCATGTCGCAGACATTCGACATGTACGGCCTGTGAGAATTCCAAACGTTTGGTCCAAGTGTGCACGGACATCAGTGGCATGGGAGTCCACCTTCTTTTACTGTGTGGCCCTGGTCGATTTCTGGCTCCCGCCAAAGCTCAGGCGAATTGGCAAGGAAGCCTTTCTCTGCTGTACCTCGCTCCGAGAAGTCATTGTCCCGCCAAGACTCCACTATTTGGCTAACAGAGCCTTCTGTGGTTGTGAGCAGCTCATGCAGTTGCCAAGTTGGATGATGCTGCTGCATGGAGGGGCCTTTGTGGAGAAAGTAATGCTTTCTTGGTGTGTAGCAAGTTCAAGCGTCCATCGTGGATCAAGCTTCTCCCACCGAGAGACGCCGATTCAGATGCCTTCGACGAAGAACTGCGCAAAGGGCTGCGCTAGAAGGACAGTTAAAACACAAGAGTAGAGCCCGTGCTTGGTGAGAGCCTTAGCACTCGTCTTGGGCAATGGGACTTAAACGAGATGTCACCTATGTTTCATAATCTTTTCACGCATTTCGCACTCAAGCCTTTCGCGTCTAAGATTACATGACGTAGGAGGATGGTCTAACCCCAATTCCAACAATGGAGAAGCAAGTGAAAAAGACTGCTGCAAGGTTAAGCTGGCTCAAGCGAATTCGTTGGCAACGAGATCCTTTGCAGGCTAATCTTCCAATAGCGACTACTCGTGCCTCGGGCACGAGTACTTCAGAAGAGAGTGAAACAACCATGGACTGTCGCCTATTGCTCACTACTTTGTCTGGCAAAGAAGTCGAAGTGTCAACAAACATCGCCCAATATGACAGATTCGAATATTGTTGAGCACCTTGCAACTGTTACGGATCTAGACGTCTCTTGGGAAGCCTTGCAAGAGAACAGACATTTCACCATGGTGTTTCGAGATTGCGTCGAAGCCTTCCAAACAAAAGAGGACTTCGAAGATTGCGCGTACCGAGACATCCCGAAAGCAGTCAAGGTTCCAGCCAATGAATCGGGGATTATCCCACAGAGTGCGTTCATTGCGGTCCCGCTCATGCGCCATGTCATCATTGAAGCAGGCATACATGCTGTTGGGTCACGAGCTTGGCAGAACTGTCGTCACCTCCGAATCGTCAAGATGCCGACCACAGTTGTGCGTATCGAAGAGAGTGCCTTTCGTGGGCGCCGTTGGCTCAACAGCATAACAGTGCCAGGCTGCACTGATTTTGGGTATAAAGCTTTTGCCGACTGCTGCTCGCTACAGTGGGTCCATGCCAATGGAGTCAACAATATCGGTAGTGCAACCAAGCTTGGACACAATCTTTTTGTTGATTGCATCAATTTAGCTACCATGACAATCCTGCAAGACGGTCGTGACTCGAACTCGCCAACGTCTGGGCCACGTCGAGAGCTTCCGACGGGATGCTTTTGTTCGACAGGGTTGAAAGAACTCCAGTTACCCCGAGACTTCTATGAGCTGGGAGCCCATGCCTGTGATAATTGCAAACTGCTTACCTATCTGGACATTTCGGACACCAACATCGAAGAAATTCGAGAGTTCACTTTCGTGCTCTGTACCAGGCTCCATGATGTCCGTCTTCCATACACAGTACACACAATGCATGTGAAGGCCTTTATGGACTGTGCCGCGTTGCAAGAACTCGCCATCCCACCCTCACTGCACTACATTGCCAGTGGGGCGTTTCTCGATTGCGCAGTCTTGCGGAGACTCACGAGAATGCCAGGCCAAAGAACTACGTGGAGAGGGACGTACGCTGAAGAAAATGCATTTGCGCTTTGCCCTGCATGGCGATGGCCGCAATGGCTGCATATGATCCAAGATCTAGGATGTGTGTCGGACTTGGGCTAAGTCCATAAGAAACACAGCATCAATGTTAAGTACCAATTTCGAAAAGAATTGCGAATTCACATCCATATACTATACATGGTTCTAGAAGGTCTCATTGCCAGAAACAACTATCCCATTCGCACTCCATTGCACTGCCTGCATACCCTTTCTCGATTGCGCACTCCTAAGGTAGTTCATGAGGTGGTCAGGCCAAACAAAGTGGAGAGGGGCATCTGCTGATCACACTGCTTTCGAATTTTTTGAAGTCTGCCTCGCACGGCGATGGCCCTTGAGGCTGCGCAGGACTCTATCCAGGCTGATGCCTCGCAAATCAGAACCACGCCCAGCATAAGTCCATATGTGCCGCAGTGGACAATGCTGACGGTAAAGCATTTCGACTGCCCTCTCCAGCCTCAATGGAAGGGAAGATAGCAGCTTTGAGTCGAAAATGATTTCTGCCAAATATGCCCATACTAGTGCGCTGCTAGTGAGCTGGCCCGGTTGCGAGCCTTAGCTTTCGACCGGTGTCCGCGCGCGACGGTAGGAAGGTAGCTGATTGGCACCCGGGTGAGAACCTTAGTTCCTCGCCTGGTCAGGGACCGTACCCTGCCAATCTTGTACAAAGTGGGCATATAGCACCACGCTAGCCTTTTCACGTTTCACAATGTTTCACAAAGGCCATGCATGAACGAGGCGACCGACTGATGAATGACAACTCTATCCTCCCTGGATATCATCTCGCGCACTTCCCGCACTCCCGTAGGCTTTGCTGTTAAGGAGCCTGCTGGATATGTGCGCGACCCTCCCTCTGTTGAGGGAGGTTTCGTCAGGCGCCTGCTGGCGCACTTGCAAGCAATGCCCTGCATCGGCAAACGCCCACCACAGGCCACAGTTTCTTCTGGCATTGCAATTGTGTGAAATGATTGTGACCAGATGCTGACTGTTTTCCAAGGCCAGAAATGCATTGCACTCGAGCACGTTCATGATAACCCGCACTCCTTGGGAATGTCAGGCACTGCTTTCCCATTCGCAGACTGCTGAATTGACATCCTGCCCTACCAATGCTGGAGTTGGAGTGCTTTTCGAGCACTCCGGTGGCAAGCGCCTGTGATCAGGCCAGTCCGAACTAAGCCTGAACGCACAAAGCCACTCCACAGGCATGAACAGCAGCTTAACCGAGAATTCGAGGCCCGGGTAGCTAGTTGCAGCAGTTCCCATGTTTCACCATGTCTCACCCTTATGTACAGAGCGAAACTCTGCAGGTTCTTGCTTGGGGGCTTTTTGTTTGGTGTTTTGTTTGTGTTTTGGTTTGTTTTGTTGTTTTGGTGGTCTTTCCCCGCTCTTTTAACATGCAGAGTCTCCACTTTTAGAAATATGACCTGTGCATTCCGCACACATGGCGTCTCCACTCGTGGAAAAAAAACTCTACAGGCACATGGACAGCAGCGTGAAATTGAATTCGAGGCCCAGATAGCTAGTTGCCACAGTTCCCTCGTCTCACCGTGTTTCACCAAGATGTACAGAGCTGAAACTTTGCAGTTTCTTTTTCTGTGGGTTTGTGTGTTGTTGTGGGGCCTTTTGGGGGTTTGGTTTGTTTTTTTCTGTTGTGTTCTGGTTCTTTATTTGAACTTGCAGAGTTTCTACCTTTAGCAAAGATGACCTGTGCACACCGCACACATGGCGTCTCCACCCGTGCAAAAAAAAATGCTTGAATTTGGTGAGTCGGTCACCGTGTTTGCCCACTTGGCTGGGATCCAAACCAGGAAATGGTGGTTGCAACGAAGCACCGTTGTTTCATTGTACCATCATCGATTTGGATCATCCTGACTGGTTGCAGTTGGTCGTTTCACAAAATTCTAGCAAGGGTTTTATTTTTTTGTCTGTTCTCATGTTCATTCTATTTCGATCTCTCTTCATGGCAGTTGTCATGAAACTATCACAAAAAGGAAACTGCGGTGAAACTGTTTGTTGATTTGCCATTCCCACAACTCTTGCTTTGCTGCTGAGCCTGCCAGCGCTTTGAAACAACATGCTGAGCCTGCAACTCGCTCGTCCGAGTCACCGTTGCAAGGGCAAACCGAGGAGTGCGGCTTCTGGAGTGTTATTAAATCAATATTTTTGTAATTTTCAATTGTTTCAACGTTTTGTATGGAGGGTTTTGAGGTCTTGGACATCATAAACAGTACAATTTGTGTGACTCTGCAGTTGTTTGGGTGCTTGAAACCCTTGTTTTCAGGAGTTGGAAAGACACCGGGACCAGCGATCTTTTTGCTCAGAATTTAACAAAAACAAAAAACACACTTTGCCAAACCAACTATGGAGTGTGGGTTTCACCACGGGCATAGTGACAGTCATAGATCCAGCAGCACATTAAACGAGCCCAGCAGCTTATCCATTGCGATCTTGGTTGTCCCTTTGCTCTTGGATTCATGGACACCTTGGCCGATCAGACGACTTTCACATGCGCACAGAGGTTCTATGCATTGATGGCCATGTGCAAACGTTTGTTCGGCCTGAGAAATCATCAGAGGTTCTACGGCCATGTTTCTTCGGCCTTTTCCGAGCAGAGCGATGGTGGAGTTGATCAATGGGTCTGGCTCGGCACGGTTCTGACCGAGCTTGCAGGTCTGACAGAGCTGTCACGGTTCCTGTCGCAAGGCCACCATTGGGTTGATGATCTGCCCTGTCCTCCAACCACAATCCACTATCCTGTACTACTTGAAATCCACAACCATTATCATTAAAGGATTTTACCTGTTTTGTTCAGGGCTTTAAGCATCAACCATAGCGCAGCATTCGGGAAACCACCAAATCTTTTGGACCAATCGCAAGGATCCAAAACAGCGGGCAGTGGCCAGAGCTTCCGAAGCACCTTAGGTTGGGACTCACCGAATCCGTGCCCAAGCTCAGTTTGTGAGCGTGAACACTTCTCCGGAGCCATTTGTTTTTGTTTCTTTTCCCTTTTGGGGCTCTGACGCTTCCAGCAGTTCAGTGCTGCTGCAGTGCGGCCGGGCAGGATGGATGTCTTCGAAGATGGTGCAATGTTGGACGGTGGACGACCATTGCTATTCAAAAGAGAGATAGAAAACGGAGTCGTCCTGACGACATCTGTTGCAGCCGATATTTGTTGCCCGCGGGCTGTCCATGTCCGTGGACAGCTTTGTCAGACTTTTCACTTTTGTTCGTGTAGCTTGCGAAAGGTGAAGAGAAAACCGACTGACACATGCGAGTTGCCTTTGAAAGACCTGAAAACAACATCCAATCGGCACTCGAAACTCAAAAAGACTTCAGCACAGTCGCTCAAACTGAGATTCCTTGTCCTTTGGGGCTTTGTTCAATTCGCTTTGTTTGTTGTCCGAACGAACAGAGCGCGCGCGCCATGGCCGCCAGGTGCGCTTTGTTCCAGGTGTTCGGATCTGAAGAAGGCCGAGGTCAAAGGCGGTCGGGGAAGATGTGGAGTGGAGCTGATGCGACCATGTGACGTCCCTTTTTCTCTCAATCTCTCTGACAAGGGGTCTTGGGGCATGTTTTTGGGGTCTTGGGTGGTTCAGCATGGATTTGTGCCTCGAAGTCTGGGGGGATGTGATTCATGACCATTCAAAAACGATCAAGTACAAACATGAAACGCAAGCGGTGCTCTGTTTGTCTGTGTGTGTGGACTTCACGCTCTTCAATCCAGAAGCTGCCTCCGTGAGGTGCGTTTGGGATTCGCCCGGAAGACTTGGAGGAACGTGGGACCCGTGGGACTGTCTGATCGATTTCAGTGCCGGACCGATGATCAGGTGTTGGTTTGCTTCAACCATTAAGGTTGGCACCTATTTGCGGGGAACCTGTTCGGTCCAGGATGAAGCGGAGCCTGCGGGCGGTTCCGAAGATGAGCGGTGCGGGTGCCTGGTGCATGCGGGTGCCCAACGGGCACCGGTGACCACCGAAGAGGGTCGCCGGTGGGGTGGCTGGGTTAGACAGTGACGCCCCCGGCTTTGGCTCATTGGTGGAGGCGTTCTTGGTATCGCAAGAAGAGCGAGCGGGTCGCGGTTGTGAAGATACTCCGTTTTCTACAAATCGTATTTACTGTTGGGGTTCTCTCTTAGGAACAAAGGGCTGGCCATGATGGCAGTGTCCGCGACGTCCGCCCTTTCTTCTCCTCCTTGGTCCTTGTCCGGGCCTTCTCCAGGCCTTTTCCGAGTTTGTGTGTCCTGCTTGTCCGCGTTGTCGGCCCTCTTATCACCGCCTTGTCCGGGCCTTGTCCCTTGCTTGGCCACGCCGTTTTTCCTATCTCCACCGGCCTTGTCCGGTTTGTTTTCTTGTGGCCATCCATGCAACATCCTGTTCCGAACAATCGTTTCTGTCTACACATGCACGCTGTTCTCAAACAGCTGGGAACTGCAAGAGTATACTGTGATTACAGATGTTTCCATCAACATTGGAATATCAGGAATGGACGTAAAAAGAACCTCTGCTGAAAGTGTTTGGGGTCTATGGCACTATGCAGGTAGTATATATATATATATTGTTCAATGTCCGGCCACCGAAGCCGACCTGCTCAGCCCAGGTCGGAGGCCGACTTGCAGTCCGAGGCGCGCGGCAGTGTTTAAAATTGGGCGGGGGTCGGGTGAGAGGAGGTGGGAGGCAGGTCGGGTGGCTTTTGCAGTGGGTGTTTGGTGAAGGACTTGTCGGTACAGGTGGGAACACTCAAGCTCGCGGTCGGTCAGGGTATCCCTGATAAATCACACACCTTGTAGTGGAGAGTGATGAATCGGATGCCGAAATCAGGTCACGTCATGCCCAGATCTATTGATTTAGTTTGAGGAGCCGGACCACTCTGGGCGCATCATACAGATCCTGCAGTGAGTTCTACACTCCTGCTCCTCCAGCCTCCAGCTGTTGCGCTTTGCCGGCCGCTCTTGTCGGTGCGGAGGCGGGGGAGACCGCAGAGGAAGCTCGAGAGGCAAGCCATGGGTGAGTGATGGCTTAAGGCAGGAGGTTCCATGGGCTAATCTCGCCTGAACAAAACGAAAGCGAGTTGATTTGTGTAGCTTTGGACAACGAGACAGAACACAATCATTTTTTTAGATGTATCCGAGACAGAACGATCTCAGTGGGTGAAGACTGCACAAAATGGGAGCAACACTCACTGCATGGTTTTGGACCATTTGGGGGTTCCCGTTGAGATGAAGCTGGTCTTCATGCTCGAAAGTGTTGTGCATGGAACGTGGTAAGCGAATGTATGGCGTTGCTGCTTTGTTTAATAAAATCTTTCATTGGCGAGAGCCTGTTTTCAAAATTATAAAGAGTAAAAAAGAGTCAACTTAGTAGTCAGTCCCAAAAGTCAAAGTCAAAAAAAGTAACATCAGACAGTTTCAGAAGTCAAAAAAGAGTCAATTGGCCCAGATCCGATTTTTTATTTATATACTTATTATTTCTTTTCCGACATATATATATATATGTCTATTTTTTTATTTCTATTTTTGAGTTGTTTCCTTTTTTATTTTTTTTTTTGACTTTTATGTGAGTTTTTTCTTGGACATTATTTTTTCGAGTTGTGATACATTTTTGATTTTTGTTTTGACTTTTTTTGGGTCTTGATCGAGTTTTCTAATGTTGTCCTTTTTTGACTTTATATATTTTTTTGGACCTATTTTTTTTGGAGACTTTTTGAGTTGTGATTTACTTTCGATCTTTTTTCAACACATTTTTTGGAGACTTTTCAATTTGACATATTTTTTTAGCTTTGACTTTTTCATTTGATTCTTTTTGACTTGTCTTTTTTTTTTCAACCTTTGTTTAAATCAAGGATTCTGGCCTTACCATATGAAAGAATGTTTTAATGCTTTGGTTTTCTTAACTCACCCCCTGAGGGTATCCAGAAGCTCCTCGAGGAGACTGGCAGGAGATGCACGGAGTGCTTGACTTCTTGAGTTTGGGACTGCAGAGAATCCTCGCTTAAAAGCTCCACGTCCGATCGGGGAACTTTGACGAAAGGTATTTCTTTTTGGGAAAAGACGTTGGGGTTGAAGCCCATTGACCAGATGGGACGAGGTGAAAGCCACCTGTTGAGTGACTTCCTCTTCAGCTCTTGAGTCTAATAGAGTCTATGACCTATAGAAATTTGACAGCATAGACCCCGAACAGTGTCAGCAATCAGATTCTTAAGTATCAATTCCTTGAATTCTAATGTTGGTGGACACTTTTGCAATTATATACCTATTTTCTGTTTAGCCTCCAGCTGTTAAACAGAAAACGTTTGACAACAACAGTTCCTGATGTCTGAGTCACATGTGAAGAACGAGGGGATATATATATATATATATTTATATGTCACATGTCTGAGGATGATAGCAAATTTGAAGCTCCGCATCACTGTTGCATTCATAGCCACGCAAAAACATACCTGGTGGATAAAAAATAGCGGCGTGGCCAAGCAGCGGACAAGGCCCAGACAAGGCTGTGGTAAAAGGGCCGACAACGTGGACAAGCAGGACAGACAGACCTCAACAAGCCCCGGCCCGGCCAAGCAGGACACACAAACCTGGACAAGGCTGCGCGGCCAACAGAACGTAAACCGTTTTTGGAACAAGAGGAGGACACAGGCGGCCAAAAACAGCAGGAGGGCACCAAGAGGCTCAAGGACAAGAAGGTGGCACAAAGTTGGACGGCGGACAAGAAGAGGACACGACGAGGACACCAGGAGAACAAGAAGAGGACACCAGGAGGACCAGAGGAGGACAAAACTTCCCCAGGGAAGGTGTAACAAGGTTATCGAGTGGTGAACTTGAAGAACACCCGCCTCACTTGTTCAAATGGGGTTGAACTTCCTCTAAGAACCACGGACCCCCTAATGGTTTGCGAACAATTTTTTCTCGTTCTTTTTTGTATTTTTATTCAGTCTTCTAGATATGTTGAGTGCGAAAGCCTTGCTTCAGACTCAGACACTGCACAAACAGAGTTCTTTTTGGCTTCCCCAAAGCAAAACCATCCCAGGTGTTTTCTCTAGAGGTCTGAAATCTGGTCTGGTGAGCGCAAGACTGGTCACAAGAGGCGTGAAATGTTTGCAGTGAAGCGCACTAAACTAGAGATAGTAGGCTCAAAATCCTTGGTATTGTAGAGTTCAAGGGTCCCATCAACGGATTTCCATCAAATTCACCGCGTCCAGGACTTTGCAGAGGGGACCGGACCCCAGTGACATTGCCGGACAGCGGAAAAAAACCGGGCTAGCTGCTCGTGGCGTGTTGGGCCGTCCAGCCAAAGCGTGGCGAAGTTCGTTCGCTTCGGACTTCGGCTGCTGGAGACAGGGGCACCCGGGACCCGTTGAGTTCGTTGAGGCAGGTCTTGTGGATACGAAGCCATGCCAACGGGCTGACGGTTTCTTGCGGTGCTTGGCTCTGTCAGATTTCGTCGGGCGAAATGGGCCAGAAATCGGTGGGGCGCAGGCCCAGTGCTTTCAGATCCTTCGAATCTGTTCCCTTTGCCAAGGATCTGTTGAGACTAAGCATTTTGAAGGCCCTCGACGGCCGCCACGAGTCGAGACTCGTCGTCACTGGGGACTCGATTATGTCTCAGGTCGGACCCTGGCGATGAAAGAGGCCATCAGTGCTGTGCCTTGGTTCGATTTGGTTGGGGGGAAGGTTTTTTTGAAATACCCAGTCAGTCAGACCCAGTAGTTTTGTCGGGACAAGGCATGCGTGAGCGACGAGCCAACATGTCACGAAAGCGAGCTCAGAAGGAGCTCAGCGGAAGTTGTTGTTTACGAAATATGGTGAGGCTCAAAATTGAAAGGTTCAGTGAACTAATTGATTCTTTCAATTAAAGGGAGGGGTCAGCCGAGGGGGGGGGGCCCCTTCCGTTTTATTGATTCTTTCAATAACCACACCCTCCCTCGCAAAAGAATTGATATTTCAATTGCAGATTGAAACGTCTAAGGGGGGGGCCCTCCCCCCCCTGTAAAGTGAATTGAAAGAGGCTATTCGACTCCTCGCTCGTCCTTGTGAGAAAGCATACCAAACGCGTAGAAAAGACAATATGAACGTCGAGATGTTTTTTAAGTGTTCGGTTGACTCATCCAACAACACTTTGCGCTCGTGGCACAAAAGCGTTGCGTTGCTGCCCTCCCTCCGCGTCCCCTTGATCCTTCCACACCCCTCGCTTTCGTCCCCACTGTCCTCAAGTTTTCACTGGTTTGTTCCGCAATGTCAGAGGTGACTACCAACGTGAAGTGGTATTCATGGTGGTGTTCATGCCCGGCTGCTGATGGCTTTTTTGTCAGCTTTGATTGCTGGCTTTCCAGCTTGGGTGTTTCCCAAGGCACGGCAGCATGGAGTGGAGAGCAGTCTCATCAAGGAGGTGGGGTTCCTGTTGCGTTTTTGGAGTGAACAGGTCCGTCTTCACGCTTTCGCCAGAGCCTCCTGACGGCAACCCACGAACTTACACAGAGTCGATGCAATTGCCAGATGAGTTTGGACAACACATTTGCATGCTGTACAAATCGGAGCGTCCGAATTATGGCCAGCGTCCGAATTATGGTCAGCCAGGAGGACTTGAGTCTGCATTGAACCCATTGGAGGCGTTATATAGGTCCGTTTAGGTATCATTTGATTGAAAGGTTCTCCATGTGAGGTTCCTCGTCGCTTCTCGCCCGATCCGTGGCCGGTGGGTCCAGGCCCAGCAGCGCTTGGAGCATCATCAGCTCCGGCAGAAGCGTGCCGAGTGCGAAAAGGAGGCCGGGGCAAGGAGGGCTGGGAGCTGAAGTGGTGGGTGCGCCAGCCTTAGTGGATGATTTCGTTGCTGTTGATTGTTTTCCCCATATTCCATAAGCCTGGAAGTCCAAGACCACTTTTAGAACTGGTTGATCTGGTTTTGTAGTGTAAACTCCTTAATGGTTGTTCGGCAAAGGCTATTAACGTTTGTAAGTAAAATGTGGATTCGACTTCTAGGGGTAAGCTGTGAAAAAGGTGGACTTGTTTGCATGGACGACCCAGAGGTGTCGCTGTGGTTTGCCTCTGCTGCCCAAGACCTTGAGCAGTGCGGGAGGTGGGGAAGGGAAGGAGCGCAGCGAAGCGCAGCTCCGTTGGCCTCGGAACACGGAGTTCCTTTTTTCAATAGATGTGGCAAGGTGAGGGTTCTTTCCTTTAGGCAGATTTGGGTATAGAACCCGCTGCTAGGGAAAGGCAGTCTTTTGGGTGAGGTTCGTTTTTGAAACAGGCTTTTGGAAGCAGCTGTGCAGAGTCAGTGCGCAGAAGAGGCCGGGGATCAGGGTTTTGGCCTTATTTGCCCAGTTCATGATTCAACATGGATGCGGAAAAAACAGAACCTCCACTTGGCCCATTTTGGCATGCTTTTGCTTGTTAAAACTTGAGGGTTTGCCAAGCTTGCCATTTACTGTATCTGCCGTTCTATCAGCGGTTTTTTGGTCGGGGTCCTTTGCTGCTTGGGCTCCATGGATTCCAGAAATCACTACAACTACAAGCTGTCTTTTGTATCCCTCCCGCTTGGATGCTCATGTCGCAGGTGAATCACTCTAAGCATGAACCCATGAAGCTGGCTCATATATCTATCTATAAATATATTTATCTATAAATATATATATATATGGTACTCCCCCAAAAAACCAACGTTTTCAGACAAATAGGGGAGGTGGGGGGTACCAACAAATCTGAATCAAGGTCAAGGGCAAGTGGAGGTGGCAGCTTCCAAAGTATGTTCGTATTGCTACGCGCAAAGTGCCTGGCACTAAGACGGTTCTGAAGGTCAAAGCCGGCACTCAGGTCATCGACCGGGCCTGGCGATATCTCAAAGATCGGATTGTCTTGAACCAGAACTGTACAGCAGGTTCGAAGCGCCTTCGCTCCAAATTGCGTTCTGCGCAGTACCTGTACTGGTATAGACAGAAAGATCTTTGGGAAGCGACCGGAGAGCTGTGCACTTGGGAAATGAGAAATTTCCTAAGAACAGCGTAGTGCACTTTGATCGCTGATGAGATCTGCAAGGCAAAATGAGCTGTTTGTGCCATTGCATCCAAAGGCTTCATCTGTTGGCCATCAAGAACAAATCTGCTTTCAATACACTTATCAATTTATCATCAAGGACAACTCTCACACACAAGCAAGAAATTTGTCGGAAACGTTGGTTTGGGGGGTAGCATATATATGCATATACAAAAATGTGTACATGTATATATATATATATATATATCTATTTTCATACTCGAATGGTATCCACCGGTCCACCATGGGGCAATCCATGTTCAACCGCAGCAATGGATCTCGAGGCCCCCATTTACCTTTTCCATGGCCCGTTGGGTGAAACATGTTGCGCTTGCTACCGCGTTGTCGCTTCTTTTGTTTGCTGCCCGAGTTGGTAGCGGAGCCCTAAGTGCTCCAGGGCCCACCTTCGAATGCTTTAGTCGCCGTGATCTTCGAAAGCTTCGATTGGAAGGGTTCCACCACGCTGGATCGGTGACGTGCAGTGCAAAGTTCTTGACTGGACTGAGTTTTTCATACATCCGCCAGTCGAGTTGAATTCACAGACCTCGAGCCCAATACCCATAGGCCCGACAACAGCTGACTTTGACTTCGGGTGTGTGCGCCTTTCGCAAAGTGATATGTGCCCGCGCTACTTGAAGATTTGCGTTCAGGTTCATTGATGCCTCACTCACTCACTCACTCACTCACTCACTCACTCACTCGCGCCTTCGGAGTCCTGTTGATCATTGATGCCTGCGCGAGCACCTTTGTTCATTGAATGTCTTGGATCCGTGAACACTACTGCGGTTGAGGACTTTCACACCAGATTTTTCTACGATACAAACCGGATTATGTTTGGGTGGACAGTTTTGACAGTTCTTGCAATTGCTACGGTCTTGACAAGGCTTGTATTTACGACATTGTTGGTGACGGCAGTTGCGATGGGACGAATGTTGAGCAGTATTTGACAGGAGTTGAAGTTGGCACAGTTGAGCATTGTTCAGGCGATCAAGCTTGCATTGTTGAGCGTTGCGCTGAAGAAGGAGCACATGGTTCAAAGGCTTCAAAGCGGGCTGTACCGCGTGACGCAATGATGTTGTCGTTCAACATAGCTGACGAGAGGGCTGTACCGCGAGGGTCGATGACGCTGCGTGCTGGTGAGCGGGCTGTACCGCGTGAGTCGACGACGCTGCGTTTCACCATCTCTGATCGCTAGGACCACATTTGGTTCGAAGCGGAACTGGAGGAGTACGAGCTCCGGTTCATGACGCATCCAACAGTGATGGAAGATCCCGATTTCAAACCTGCAGCCGACTGTGCTGCTCATCTAGGTCGCCCGACCTCTGCCGACGTAGGAAGTAGTCAGGTGGATATCGACCGAGGGGCACACCTCCATGACTGTCACCCCATATGACCATTGTTCAATCCAGGAAAACCAACACAACCATTTTGATGTCGGGTCCCACGCATATGCGCATACTCCACCCACATTCTACACAGGACTTGGCAAAGGCCGCAACGGCGGCCATGTGTGCGATTGCACTCAGGTTTTGAAATTGTGTTTCGCTGCGCGCGCCGCGTGCCAAGCCGATTCAAGTGCCGAGAACTTGAAGACTACGAGCCTATAGGCCATATGTTGGCAAGCTGAGCAATGCGCCTTGTGGCCATCCTGACATGCATTTCATTAGCTGCCATTGTACGGTATGCCAACCACAATGCATTGCGTACCCCGCCATCATGGGGTCCAGAACTGGAAGGGAGTTACCCCCTCAGGCAATGGGCCCGGGACATCATGTTGTGGTCCACCGGCCAGGAAGGCCGCTAGTGTGATGCTTGTCTTGAAGGGGGCTGCAAAAGAACTCTCAGGACAAATCCCCCCACAAGCAGTGGCGGAGGGCGGAGTCGTAAACGGAACGCCAATGATATCCTTTATGGGGAGGAGGGCTCAGCATCACGAGGTTCACGCAAGAGATGACGTCCGATGGTAAATCTGGGAGGTACCCAAAAAGTCGACTTTTTGAGTATGTGCGTGGTGGTGGTTGGGTGCTTGAAATCCGGCCAGGGCCCGGGAGGCCCCAAGGCCGTGTCCTTGCCGTAGGCCATCTCTCTTCTCCGTAGGAGAGAGGGGAGTCCCGCCCCCGTTGCCGACCATGCGCGGACCTACCGAAGCTACCGCGCTTTACAGTGTTTCTGGCTTGTCCCATTTTTCGGCTCTTGCGGCGCAAGATGGGTCAACGTGGCCCAACGTAGGCCCAAATAATGCTGGAAATGCGTGCCGCACCGGGGTGCTTCGTCTGCGTCGTGGGCGGATGCTGGGCTAACATGGGCCACATAGCCCCAACATCGGCCAACATAGCCCCCAAGATGGGCCAACATGGCCCCAAGATGGGCCAAGATAGCGCCAAGATGGGCCTACATAGCCCCCAAGATGGGCCAACGTAGCCCCAACATAGCGACAAGATGGGCTAGCGTAGCTCCCAAGATGCCCAGATAGCCCCCAAGATACGCCAACATCGACCCAAGCTGGGCCAACAAAGCAACAACAACCACCACCACCACAACAACAACAACAACCACAACCACAGCAACAACAACAACAACAACAAACAACAAAAAACAACAACAACAACAACAACAACAACAACAACAACAACAACAACAAGCACAAGCACAAGCACAAGCGCAAGCGCAAGCACAAGCGCAAGCACAAGCGCAAGCGCAAGCACAAGCGCTAGCACAAGCGCAAGCGCAAGCACAAGCGCAAGCGCAAGCGCAAGCGCAAGCACAAGCACAAGCACAAGCGCAAGCACAACCACAACCACAACCACACCACCAACCACAGCCACAACCACAACCACAACCACCTACAGCCACTACATCCACCGCGACCCCCCCTGCGTCCCCCGGCTGCCCCTAGCCCCCGTGCCCTTTTTCCCTGCCCCCTCCCCTTTGCTTGGGCCCCTGGCCGGCTGTCGGGCGTAAGCCCTTAAATAGAATGGTTGGATCCATCGGCGTTCTTTCCCAGTTACAGCCTGCACGACAGGCGGCCCCAGAGACATACTCCAATCGCACAGATATACTCCAATTCCACCGTGGTTCAGCTTCCAGAACGCAGCACTTCTTTGGCACCCACCCAAAATGCCCAAACGAAAAGCAGAAGAGCCGGATGTGGCCGAAAGCCAAATTCCCGGCGGCGATTCATGGGCATTGCGAGTGGAGGGCTGTTTCTGGCACAAGGTGCCTGTTCTGAGAGGGGCAGTCCTGCGCTGGCTGGCTGCTTGTCAGCATGTCCCGCTTGGACAGGCCACGCGCTGAACGATACTTGCGGCTCCCCCAATTCCTGCTTTCTTTAGCCAACCTACAATTTCCTGGACAGTTCCTTTACCGGGGATCCTGTGGCCGGAAGGCGCCAAATGCCACTCGTGTACGCGACATTTTGCAAGTCATGAAGATCAATGACGAGCCATACGACCATTGTTCTCGCATACTTGGTGAAGTCTTGACGGAGCAAACTTTAGAACAGGCGGAAATGAAAGCGTACGTGATCGCACGTACGCAATGGACAGACATACACCACGGTGTGGATCTTTTGCTCAAGGACGTCATTGCTAAAGGTTTCCAGCCCCGGGACATTTTTACGGAATCCTTCAGCCCGAACTGCCGCCACTCCAACGCATGTGTCGGTAGTTTGCCAGCCCAGAAGCACTACGTGCAAGACCTATTCCCTCCGACACTTCCACCGCTCGAGTGGAAAGACGAGGCTGGCCAACATGCGTAAGGAGGACATTTTTTCACAACTACTTTCCTGGCCAGGTGTTGGCTGCCTCACTGGCAAAAACATCTTTCAAATCGTGCGGCGCTGCACGGCATTTCACCATTTTAAAGCGGCCGCAGGCAATGCCTGGCATCATGCCAGTCAACGCTGTGCGTTCTCTGGTCCGGGACCCCGCATGGCCATTAACTTGTTGTTCGCGGAGCCTGGTGGGCGAGGGTTTTTACGCGACAACAACAGCGCAGCTGCGCTGCGGCATTTCCACCCCAAGGTTATCTTTCTACAACGAGCCTTCGTGACAGAAGTGTGCAGTTTAGTGGACGACCTTGGGGTTGATCCATTGACATTCTTGATGCACTCCCTACAGGAAAGGTTCGGCGACCTAGGAGAAGAAGTAAGAGTCCAGGCTGTGACGGAACTTATGAGTTTTTCGAGAAAAGGCAACGAAAACGTCGATGCCCTCCTCGTTCGCTTCGACAGCATTCGCACCCGCGCTGCCGAACAGGGAGGAGCCGTTGTAAGTGTCCAAGGTGTTGCGTGGCTGCTCTTGCGCGGCCGTTGGGATCTCGGACAAACTGCTTTCTCCAACCTTTCGGAGGTTTGTTTCCGGCCGATGAAGCCAAGCTGACCCATCTCAAGACCAGTCTTCGTAGGATGGGCCACATCCTCGAGCATGCGCCGGGGAACATCAGGGAAGGGTTGCGCAGTCAGAGTTCGAATGCGTCAGGTTTGTATTTGACCCACAACTGGACAAAAAAAGAAGATAGACCCCAGCCGCACACAGGTTTTGATAGTTGGGCAGATAATCACGCGTTCCCAGCAGCGGCCATGCCAGGTACGCCCATGGAATCCACCGAAGCCTTCGCCGCGTTCGAAGATGAGGACATCGATATGGATTCGATCACTAGTTCAGGTGAGTGCAGTTTGGTTCGTGATGATGGCACCGATCCTCAGAGAACAGCGCAGAACTTGTTCTGGGCCTATCGACAGGCCAAACATAAGTGGCGTAAGTACATGGGCAAGAACACCCGAGCCGTTCGTCGATATGCCAAGAGATTCGAACGTCGCAAGGGTAAAGGCAAGGGCAAACCCCACTCAGCCTACGCAGTAGGTAAGGGTAAGGGGAAGAAGGGCAAGAACCAATCTTCCGCATTCCTTGCAGAGATCGGATTCGGAACCCCAACACGCCTTGCCAGCATTTCGTGGTCACCGCACCCCTAATAAGGGCAAGGGTCGTAAGACTAACCCTAGAGGTCCTGATGGTCAGACCATGCGGTGCTATGAATCGAACACCTGGCAGGTTCATGCCCTCGACGCCGCGGAGGACAGTCATCCGGCCAAGTCACGACGTTCTTCGCCAACCCCACCAGGAGTACACATGACATGTCTTCAGGTCCATTGGCAGGAATATTGGGCGCAGATGACGTTCATGCCACCGTGCTGGCAGCCCATGCAGTGACGTTTACAACACATGCCAACGAGTCCAATCAACCAAACAGCATTTTCCGAAGCTACATGGTCTCGGAAGGTGATGAATAAGATCCCCTGCAAGCCAATGACCCATGGGGATCAACCACCACACGGTCGTCATTCCCACAAAACAATTCCTCAGAGTTTCGGTCCGACTCCATCCGCCCGACCTTCGTCCGCGTCCGTTAGGAATGAGAACATTGCAGTACTTTCGGTTGCCATTTAATAACTTCGGATTCGGTCGGTCAGCAGTGTCAGAACCAGGTCGGAAACTCTGAGTCGACGCCTCGAGCTTCGGCCCCACAGGAATACACGGCCAGGTCCCCTTCCGACGGGGGAGAAGTTCGACCGCCGCTGTGGTGTACGAAATGCCGACCGGAGTACCCGGTTCCGGGAACATGCAGTGGGCGTTTATGGCCCAGATGCCCGCGGACCTCCGTGAGTTGATGCCTTCGCGCAGCACCAGAGGCGCCAAGCTTTGCAATGAACGAAGCGTTTGACTTTCTCCAGATGAGGAATCAACCGCAGATGCCCGCACCGCCGACGTTGCGGGCCCCACAAAGGTCTACCCTGGAAGGACTCTAGAGGCCAAATTGAAGAGTTCCATTATGTACCACAACAAGTTGCTTACCAACGCCAGCAGGTTCGCAATGCTCGACCACAAGCGCGCCCGAACCTGCAAGTTCGTTCGCAGTTAGATCCACAACACAGGCCAGAGATGGGTGAGTTCCACCATGTGCAGAGGACGATAGAACGCAACTCTCGCCGAAGGCGAGACTGAATCAGTGAGAGAGGATCAATGTTGAAGATGTTGAGTATGACGGAGCGCCGGATTGTTGCCCTTTGTGCTAAGAATCATTTTGTGCCAAGGAATCCGTGCTTCGATTAGTATGCAAGCGTCTTTATCACACCGAGTGTTGGACAGAGTGGATGTGTCGTGGCACTGCCTTGCACTGCCCAGTCTGCCGAGGTAGCTGCCACATCATCGCTCGATATCGCGTCCCAGATGAGTCCACAGCCACAGCATCGAACATTCCCAGCCAACCGCCCACTCAGGCAGTGACGCCCGAGCAATCCGATAGACAGCCTGACGCCTTCATCCTTCTCTTCACACCTCCACACAGCCGTGGAGATGAGGCACAGCACAGAGGTCACCAGCGGGAACGCCATTCTTCTCACCAGAACAATCGGACAACTTTGCTTGGTGGCCAACTGAGGAAGATTGCCAGGCTGGGGTGGCGTACCATTCCATATCAATCCCGAACCGAGCAGGAATCATCATTGATGCAGGTGCCTACACCAATCTCATCGGCGAGCAGACGGCGCCAGTTCGCTAAGATTGCCATGGGGCAAGGGTTCAGACCCAGACAATGGCGCATGAGGCCGATGTTTGTGCAGGGTGTGAGTGAAGGTCAGCAGAAATGCGAGTGGACAGTTTCCATCCCAATCGCATGCCGTTTATCAGTGGAAGGTTGTGTGTGCTGCCTGAACTTCGAAGCGCCGGTTGTAGGAGGTAGCGGATCCCGGCTTCCAGCGCTACTCGGACTTCGTTCCCTATCAGCACTCTCCGCTCTCTGTATGCGTGAAGGGCAGGAAGCATTGTTCGTGCCCGTTGTAGGCAATGAAACTGTTGATTTGTCGCAGCAAAGAAGATGCCCATTGGAGAAGGCCCCATCAGGACATCTGATTACGACGGTTGACAACTGGGAGGAACTAAAGCAAGAGTTCGTCCAGAGCCCATGGTCTTGCACATTGATCCTCCCCCAACATCAGCCGAGGAGTCTAGCATTCCTGCAGCCATGTAGATGCAGACCTCCCAGGAACATATGTATCGAACGCCTCACAGCCTAGGTGTGTGAAGAAGCCCCTCATGTTTCGACCCGCTTGCAGGAAGCCGATTGGAAAGTTGTTCGCTTTTCGCCAGCGCAGAAAAATAAAGGCACTACTGCGCAGGTCTCATTGCAAATTAGAGAGGCCAGTTCCGGCTTTTGTGGATTGAAGTGGTGAACTAGCTGAAGCCACAGGACAGGCAGAACGTGTAGTGCATTTACACCGCCTCCAGGTTCAGCGCAGCTTCTTTGTAACCCACCTGAGTTTGCAGACTATGACGAACGATACCATGTGCTTAAGTGTCTTCGTCCAGGCACGGGATGCAAGGATGCTTTCAGAGCATTCAGCATGAAGTTGTCCAAGGCCACTCGTTTTCCTGAAGTAGGACGTAGTAAGCCGCTAGCAGCAGACCCCGAATGTGAAGTTAAACGTCGACATGGAAAACTGGTACTCATCCTGGTAAAGCATGTAGACGACCTGAAGATCGCAGGAGAAGAAGCCGAAGTCAAGAACTTGCTTAGTGCCTTGGAGAAGACCTTCGGACCCAGTGAACGGAACAATAATAATTTCACCTGTGTAGAAATTAAGCGCACGAGGGATCAAGACGGAACCATAACTTTAGACCAAAATGAATACATCAGTGCTTTGAAGCCCATTCAACATCCAGATTTAGTTGGCCGGCCTTTGAATGAAGCGTGCGCAGACGCAGTAATTCGTTTATATGGGTCTTTGTTGGGTGCAATCATCACACCATGCTGACGCAACACTGGCTAAATGTGTACATCAAAGGCTACCGTGTGAGAGGCGCTGTGATCTTGAGAGTGGGAAGAAAAGATGGCGCTGAACGGTGTCACTTGATCGATGCATCCAGTCAAAGTCTTATGTTAGTGACGCGTAGCGCATTCAGCCCCGAAACTCTTGCAGCAGTAGGAACAGTAGATTCCTTCATCCCTGTATCAATTTCACTGACGGAAATCCTCCATAAGCCCTTAAGTCCCGAAGATTTGCGCCGATTTAGAGAAGGCGCTCTGCCACGCAGACCAAACCTTAAAATTACTGTGGCCATCGACGCGATGAATCTCTTTCAGGCTTGGACAGGTACTTCGACAGGAAAGAGCCTTTTCCCTCATCTAGCTTGGCTTCGAGATGTTGTAAAGTGTGCACTGACGCATGTTCTTTGGGTGGACGCCCGTGATATGCTTGCAGACCCGACGACAAAGGGTACAATCTCGCGAATGGCCACGCTACAAGCCATGAGTGGTTTCTTCGAGCTTGTTCATGAAAGCTGCGAGCATGCGTTCACCCAAAGCGTCGACGAGTAGGTGCGTACACGACGCATATAGTTCACAATGCGCGCCCGCACCATACATACAACCACCGAGTTCCACAAAACCTCAACGTGAGCACACCCGACTCGAATGGTATCCGCCGGTCCACCGCGGGGCAATCCATGTTCAACCGCAGCAATGGATCTCGAGGCCCCCATTTACCTTTTCCATGGCCCGTAGGGTGAAACATGTTGCGCTTGCTACCGCGCTGTTGCTTCTTTTGTTTGCTGCCCGAGTTTCATACATATATTTCTTGTGGTGGCTGCTTTTCTGTCTGTCTGCCATTTTTCTCATTTCGTGCCGCTCCGTTCCCAATGCATGACATGAGACCCTCCCGAAGTGACCCTCTACGTATCAGCAGACCCAGATCGCAAGACCCGCCCAATTCTTCCAAGCAGAGGTCTCCCAACTGGTTTGGACCCCCGATTCCCACGCGGGGGGTCCTTTTCTTGGAGGGGGCCGCTGCGCAAAGCGCCGCTCCAAGCGCATCTCCGCGCGTGTGCGCGGGCTTCGCCGGGCAGATCCAAGCGAAGCTGCGGAAGCGCTTGGAGGAGCTGAAGATCACCAGGCGCATTTTGGGGGGCTCGACAGACGCTCTGGCTCTGGACGTCCGGGTAAGGAAGCAGTTGATGCTGTGAGGGAATTCACCCTGGGACGCGGATGGGGAAACTCATAGAACCTGAACCTGGTTCAAACATAGCAGCGTACAAAAAATAGATCAATTTGGAGTCGGTAGGATCTCTCGGTGTTCCCAAAGGCCCACAGATCCCGAGATCCGAGCTGAGCTGAGGTTCAGAACTCTTTCCCACCTAGACTTGGACAGCGATACCAAATACAAAAAAGGAAGAGGAATACCCAAAACACAGCCATGGCGGCCATGGCGATGCCATGTTTTTCTCCGTGGCTTTGGCTCATCTCCAAGGCCCCTGGCCCCCGACGAGCTGGACCAGGCGATCGGGTGCGGTCCGTTTGGCGGGCGCGGTCCGTCGACGGCGCGGTTGGGATGGAGGTCGGAGGGGAGTGAGGAGAGCCTGTGACGACCGAGCAGAGTGGTTGGATGGTGGTTGGATGGACACCGGATGGGCCGGAGGGGCATGCATGGTATCTAAGTGCCTCACACGCCCATGTGCTGGAAGGAACACACTTCAAGCTACGAGATGTTATGAGCCTTACAAGCGTGATTGTGAAAAACATTTGCAGAAGGGAACATTTGTGCTTGGGCTGCACTCGAGACACAGCCGAGCAGCTTACATCTGCCCAGCTGGGGGGAAGATCTCCATAATTCAATCACAGGTAAGCCCAGTCAGCTTTCTTTATTTTTTTCTTTATTTTTACTTCTTTATTTTTTCCTTTATTTCTTTGTGCGTAGCGTCTTGCTCAGCATCTAGCAAGGTAACCACCCAGCGCGGTGGGTCGGCCGCACCTCGCGTCGTCCTCACGGTGGTAGGCCCAGCGCTACGTGACGGAAAGCTGCCAGGGCTTTGTCTCCGCAGCGCTTCTGGCAGAAGGTGGAGGGGTGATGGGTGACGATGGGTGCCATGTGAGCAGCTATTTATTGAACAGTTTTGGTGGAAGAAAAGCACACATCTTTGTTTGCTTTCATGGCTTTGTTGGAGGTTGCGTGCAGGACTTTGGGGCATTAAGAGGGCTGAAAGGTAAGAGAGATAATGTCATCTATATTTGAGAGGGGCGGCTGGAAGGGTAAGTCGCGCCTATTTGACAGGGCTGAAGGCTGAAGGGTAGTGTTACTTATTTGTATCCAGTTGAGGGCGGGTGCTGCACTGGGGCCTTCAAGGTATTCCAGAAAGAAACATACAGTACTAGTTTGGCAGAAGGGGGCTGTTCGTTCATCACCAGTTTGCCGGACGAGTGAAGCTTGTTCATCACCAGTTTGATCTTCGTCCGATGGCCTCCAGACCTGGTGTCCTCCAGGCCCCGCCACGCCCTCTCCAGGTCGCAAGACGCTTTTCCTCGACCTGGACGAAGGGACTGGGAGTTGCCCGTGTGTGTGTTTGCTTTTTCTTTTTTTCAGGGCCCGATGGGGCGTGGATGAGGTTGGAGGCCGCATCACATCATGCCACCTTTGAAGGGAACCTCTTGGAAGATTTGCCTTCCACGGAGCTTTGACCCCGGACAACTAACTCGGGGCACTGCAGGTTCGACCGCGCCAGCCACATTCAGAAAAGGAGGGGGATGCGGGATGCGCTGCTTACGGTTTCACCCCTTTTTGCCACATCATGCATGTAAAAAAAGCTTCAGCATGTTTTCGACGTGTTATCTTCTGGTTGACCTGATCAGGTTGTGGAGTTAAAGATGCCACTCACTGGGCAACATGGTCCGGTCTGTCCTTTTTCATGCAACTGTTGCGAATCCTGCAAGTGAGACAAGCACCAGGTTGAAGACGTTGGCCAACTCAAGGGCTTCAGCTGGTTTGTGAAAAGCTTGGCGCCTTGAGCCCGGACTCTGGCCAGGAACAAGAGTACGGCCACGTTGCACCTGAATCCTTCGCTGCAGGTGCTCTCACTGAAGGCGTGGGCGGAACTGCGAAGCGCAGATGACTGAGCAGACCCAGTGGCAATTTGATGCACTCGGTCGTTTCTTCGGGTTCTTCCAATTTCTTTTCTCACTCTCATGTACTCCAGCTCATGTAAGCCATAGCAGCGGAAACGGACGGCCAGGTGCACATCGACGAAGGCACAAAAAGCGCTTCCGCAGCACACATGCAGCAGCTGGAGGAGACTCGGACGGCTTTTTTGAACACCCCGACGATTTAGCGACTGAAATGAGCTAGGGACAGAATTGGAAGTTTGGTCCTCGATCATCCAAGGGTTTATCCTTGTGGAATGCCGAGTAGCTTTCCGTCCCAAGTACTCAGATGATGCAGTCGGTGCCAATTTGGCACTGTTTTGCGTTCAGGGCATTCGGAAATTGGTGTGTTCTCCTGGAGTCCTGTTTCTTCCAGACGGTCTTTCAAAAAACATCCTCCAAACCAAAAGGAGGGCGTTGACACGGGGGCCAACCTCAAAGAACGGAAGGCGATGTCCGGGTGATCCGGCCTGGCCCTACGAGCGGTTTTGGGAAGACCGCCTGTTGGAAAGACATGGATACTACCCACCGGTGGAGGTACAAACCACCGTAGCGCGGGCGTCATGGTTAGCAGCTGTTTTGCTGCTTGGGCACTGGCGAGCTAGATGGAAGATCTTTCCTCTTTGGTAGTCGTGGGATATGACTGGTGGGGAGCCAGAAAGTCCTTGGAAGGTGTCGCGAGTTGTGTTCAGCAGCCCGTTTTGCAAAGCCGACATCCCTCCGGCCGGCGGCTTTTCAGCCATGGCACGTTGGTTGCTGCTTGCGCTGGCGGGAGAGGTGGCCAGTGGAATCGAGAATGGCCTTGGTCGCACTCCCCCTATGGGGTGGCGGTCCTGGAATTTGTATGGTCAGAATGTGAACCAGTCCCTCGTGCAAAGCGTCATGGATGGAATCGTGTCCAAGAAGCGGAAGGTGGACGGCGTTCCAACCTCCTTGTGCGACCTGGGTTACTGTGATGTGGGGCTAGATGACAATTGGCAAGACTGCCATGCCGGGCAGAAGTATCGCTATCATGATGATTCTGGCATTCCAGTGATCAACAGGGAGCGCTTCCCTGACATGATTGCTATGACATCTCATGCTCACAAGTCTCTTGGCTTTTGGTTTCGCTGGCTTGACTGGGGGCAGCTTCAGATGAAGGATTCCCACGAAACCGCGGGGTAGTCTATCTTTTCCTTTTTGTGCATCCCTCTGTGTCCAAAGTCTTGGAACTTCTGGACCCCCAAGAACGACATCGTGCCACTGCTGTTCATGAGAGATGCCCATACCCGCTTCTTTTGCAAAGACGTGCTTCTTGTATCTTAACATCTCTGGAGTCCTGGACATCCCGAACAGTGGACAAAAATCCTCCCCCTCCGGCGGAACCACCCCGGCTCTTCTTTTTTTGATTTTTTCGTGGCCACCAGCAAACCCGCCCCCCGGCCTTCCAAAACGCCTTCCATTTCGGCGCGTCCGTGGACGAAAGCGAGTCAGTTGAACCGGGCGGGTTTCCTCGGCGGTGCTCGTGTGAGGTTGAACCTGACCGCTGGATGGTACCTGAACAATTGCATTTGTTCCGAGGGCACGGCCACCGACGAGACCCTTGGACGGCAACATCCCGGCAACACCGGGGCCCGCTGTGTTTTTGCTTTTTTGGAGCCAGCTCCGGGCGAGGGGCAAACACGAAAGACTGATGTTTGGGAAGCTCCCCCCTCAGAAAGAGAGCCTAAATTGTGGGAAGACCAAGATTGTCACCGGGGGGGCCAACTATTTTCAACGTGGTGAAAAAAGGCTGATGCCTCAAGGCACAGACGCCTGCATGCAAGACACACATGGGGAAAGACTTTGGGGAATGGGGAAAGACATGAGTGGCTTCTTCGCTCTCGATGGGCCTCAACCACCAACTGAAACCCAAATGGTCCCCAAGTGCGTACATGGGGCACTTCCTTTACTTCAGAGCCAAAAAGATTGTTTTTTCTATTTTTTTCTCGTCTTTCGGTACTTCTTCCAGCTTGCCGCCTCTTTTCCGCTGTTCCCCGCTGGCGCGTGCCGCGTCTCTCTCGTTCCACCCGGAACCCGGTCACCCGCCCCCGTTCCGGACCGCCCAACGCCCGTTCCGGACCGTGACCGGCGGGGAACGGAGGATGTATCAGAGCGATGTGGCGGCGCTGACGCTCTTCGGCTTCGATGCGGTGAAATTGGACGGCTGTGGGAGACAGATGGAGCCTCGGCCGAGAGGGAAGGGGCAAGAAGACGGAGGGGCAGAGCCTGTTATTTTTTTTGATTCATAAAAAAGAACGAGGGGGCACAATCACAGGGTGGGACAGGCACAAAAGAGGGAAGGGTCGTCTTCTCTTCTTTTTTTTGTTTTTCGGGGTTCCGGCTACAAAGGAAGGAAGCCACTGGTGGCTTGGGGACGAGGCCAAGAGGAGAAGGTTCCTGCAAGTCTGAAGGAGTCCCCTGAAGGCCAGGAATGTCAGGGTGCACTTCTTTGATTCGTTGGGATGTAATTAGATGTACTACGGATACGTGATCCTCTCACATTCTCTCTTTGGGGCTTGCTTGGCTTCATCTGAGCCGCGGTCTGGTGGGCAAGTCTGTCGGCTTCCACTCCGCGATGCTCCACTTCGCTGCCAGGATTTGGACAAGTGGGCGGAGCTCTTCAACCACACCGGACGACGCATCATGATCGAAAATTGTCACTGGGGCGGCACGGTGCCCAACGCCACCTGGTGTCCCTGGAACTTCTTCAGGCTGGAAGGGCGAGTGGAGGGGGCTTGGAGGGGGGTGGTTGTCAAACTGATGAGCGGAGGAGAGTGATCAGTCAAAATCCGAGTCGGAGTCCCTGTAAAACCCCGAGTTGCTGTGGGCCATGCGGGCAAAAGTCCTTGTTTGAGGGCAGGGTTGCCATCCTGCCCATACCTGGCAGATTGGAGGAGTTCCGAGGTGCCCTTGGAATCTGGAGATTTTCTTCCACGTCATTTTGTCCTGGTCCGCAAACGGACAGAACACACACACACACAACACACAGACAGACTGACACAGACACACGAAGTGGTCGAAGAATACCTGTTCGATCAGGGCATTTGTACTGACTCCCGATTCCCTGTTTGGGGTGGTGGTGCTTATTCGAAGGATGTGAGGACGGAACCGGCGGTCATCTTGGCGGGTATCAGGACCTCTGGAGACATCCGGGCCTCCTATGGCAGCATGGTGGGGAACTTGTTGACCACGGTGCAGTGGGCGCAGAAGAACCTCTCCAAGCCAGGAGAGTGAGTAGAGTGGCGCGAGTGGCGCGCGTGGCGCGTTTTCCTCCCGAATGCGTAGCAAAGGGTTCTTGTTTAACTGTGGGGTCCGGCGGTGGAAGCGTGCTTGTATGACGCTGCTTTCATGTTCGCAACCGTCCGAAACCGTTCGAATTGAGAACGATCAATCCTTGCCGTTGGGGGAAGCTTTTGGAGGTCTTGGATGGAAGCATGAAGTGTCGGATTCGTATGACATAGCGCAGACACGTAAGCGAACGTGCCGGCCGTTCTTCGCTCTCTTGGAGGTGTTGAAAGTCGCTGTGCCGGATTTGCTCCGGAAGCGCCTGCCACAAAGCTTTGGTTTTGGGGGCAAGTCCCAACAGAGGCTGAAGAACCCTATAGACTATCCCAATAGGTACTCCAGTAGGGTCCTATAAGGTACCTCTCTTGGTCATAGCATGTCATAGCTGCAGCTGCGCTTCGGGACTGTTGCGAGCGGGCACCAGTTCAGCGCCTTGCAGCATCGAGTCTGAGCGGCGCTCGGTTCCGACTTGAGCGAGCAAAGGCTGGCAGATGGACCTGCCAACGTTTCTGAGTAAGGAGAACTCCTCTTGATCGTTCAGCAACGCAGCAACGATTGCACGATGCGTGGAAGTTAAGAGGGTGCTGACTTCAAAAGCCAAAGGTAGAACCCACGAACCCAAGTGAACACATGCACTTCGACACAAACGGCCAAACGTTGTTTGACACTTGTGTGTTACTCTCCAAAGACGAACATTGTGGGGTGACACTCTTTTATCATACTCTTTTGGGACACGCTTGTGCAATGCTGTTGCTCGACAGTCAATTTATTCTAGGAAAACTCTTGGATACGTTCTCAATGGGTACTCTTGTAGGACACTCTTGTGGGACACTCTTACGGCGCCCTCTTGCGGGGACAGCTGTGGGATATTCTTGTGGGACACTCTTAAGCACTTTTGCAGGATACTCTTGTGTCACACTGCGGTAGGATAGTCTTGTGGGGTAATTTTGTGGGCACTCGTGGCACACTCTGGACACTCCGTAGGACATTCGTGTAGGGCGTATGCCGAGGCACTGTGGTTGCTGTTGTTGCCGACGACCAAACATTTTGACACGCAGCCTGCCGTGACAGGAAACTCTTGATGGGCTTTCATTCAATGGGACAGTGTTGGAGGTATTGGTATGTCTATTGATTCCGCCAGGATGTTGGGCTTACCCCGACATGCTGGAGGCAAGGTTTGTGAAGATCATGAATAGTATATTCAACCCCTGCCGTGAGTGCTGGTTGAAAGGTGTTGTTTGTCCGGAGTTTTCATGATTTGATCCTCAGGGAAGCAACAGGGCTTTGCGTCTCTGGTTGGTGTATTTCAACGTTTCGTGCACTTTTGGATGCCACAGACCGTGGAATTCGGCCGAGTCACCGCCCGGGCGCTTCGTCAGGTCGGTTGCCATGGAGGCCAGGAGCCCCAGACATAACACCGAAACTGAAACACCAAGAAAGGATAGAACGGCCTGTGGAAGGGTTCAGTGCTGTGCTCGGCAGCTGTTCCACCTTCGACTCGTGTCGGTCGAAACGCCTCGACCGTCGGTCCCTTCGGGTCCCTTCGACCGAACCGGATGCTCGATGCCGGGGCCCGCCGCAGAAGCCGCCGAGGCTTGAGCTTCTTCGAGGCCCGCTCGCACTTCAGTGCCTGGTCCATTGTCTCTTCGCCCTTGGTCTTGTCCATGGACGTGAATGACGATGCGGTGATGGACCAAGTCTGGGAGATTGTCTCCAACAAGGAGTGAAGAGGGGATAAGGGGGAAGGGGTAATTTGGGTGGTGGGGTTGAAACCGTAGATTCTAGATTTTTGGGACAGACATACATGAGATGAACAACTCTTTTTTTGTGGTGTTTGGGGAGTCAAAGAATGACATTCATTATAGACATTTTCTTCGAGGCTCCGAGGCCGAAAGGATCCCACAGCGAATGTGAGCAGAGACGTGCCAATTTCCTTCGGAATCACTGCCTAGGTTGGTTTGGCGATCCTCCACGTATGTTGTGTTGGCACATCGGTGGCCCTACACCCTTTTTTTTTGTGGAGTGAATCACAGACCCTTCGATGGGACTGTGATGCCGGATGGGTGTGGGGTGGCTGGTTCGAACCGTTGGAGGAGCAAGCGAAAGGGGTCACAGGATGCTTTGTCAATATTTGTGAGTGCGTGGTCCAAAGTCTTGGCGCCAGAGGCTTTGACGTTGCAGAGAGACAAACGGCTTTTTGGGTCCGGTTCAGCTTGGAACCTCCACACCAGCGCCCTGCTGCCGGAGCTCGGCCGCATGGTGCGTCTTCCTCACCTGGTGGGTCCTCGTTGCCCCTCCGTTAAGCCGGGCGGGAGACGGTCACCCGGTGGAGTCGTTTCAGGAGATCATTGCCGTGAACCAGGCGTGGGCGGGTCACAGCGGAAGCCCTTTTAAACAGTCCGACGCTTGGCAAGGAGGACTCAGTGACCCATGTGGTGACCAGAAATGAGAGACCCATGGTGTGGAGACGGTCTTTTTGTGGCCTCTTTCTTTGTGCAATAGCTGGCTTCGAGGCATTTGAACATGCGTCATTTTGTTTTGTGGAGGCCTAATGTTCTCAATCTTTTTTACCCCAGTCTCTCTCTCTCTCTCTCTCCCTGCTTGCTCCCTCTGTAATTTGTTGAGTGATGACTAGCTTGAAGCGAACCTGTCACCTTCCCTAGTATGGCTAGTGACCACTAGCGGCTAGTTGGGTCCTTGTGTGTTCCATCTACCGACCCTTTTGGTTGGACCATACCAGGCGTGATGCCGAAAAAAACGGCTTCGCGTCGCCGGTTTCCGCGGGGCTTCGGCTTCGGCCGCTGAAGGACGCCCTGGTGCAGCTCAGCGACTTCAACATGCAGCTGCACGGACAGGTGATCCCACACACCAGCCAGGCGCCGCGGAGAAATCGTGACGAGCCACGTGTTTCCGCCGGGGCGGTGGAGGAAATGGGTTGCTCACAAGTGAGAAATAGGTCAACTGTTCATAACTGTTCCACGTCTCGAGCTGGAATGGGTGGTGTGTTTGTGAACAGCTAGAAGACAGGGTGGATCCCAATGTAGACTCTTGATTCAGAAGACCCCCATACCTAGGAACTCGTCCAGGCTAGAAATCCAGCCCAAATCCATTCAGACAGTATTTCTGCCCGAACATGGTTTTCACGCCCGACCCTGGAATTCTCGCCCGAATGTGTTTTTGTTGAAAACAGACATATTCTGCGAGTGATATCATGCAATGCAATTTGAGTCTACCAAACCCACCCGATCACACAAATTCTCGCCCGATCACAACAATTCACGCCCGAATCACGCTGATTCTCGCCCGAATTGAAATGTCTAGCATTGTTTCAAAACTGCAGATTTGCAACTTAGGTGCTTTGCAAGTAATTTGCAGCATCTTCCGCTCTGCCCGAATAATGATTTCTGCCCGCAGGCTGTTTTTAAGGACAAACCCTGGTTCAGGCAGATTTTCTTGAACAGGCAGAAATTTGAGCCTGAATGAGGGTCCAGGTATAAAGAGGATTGATCAATGATTAATAAGACCCCCACTCTTGAATAATAAGACGACCCCCATAAAGACAGAGGATTTCCAGTTCAACTGGGTCGGTTTATGAATCCACTTCGACCAGCGTCGAATTCCATGTCCCTCGCAGTCGAATGTTGGGGACGGGAGGTCCGGTCCAGAAGGTCCGGGTCGTCTCTGAAGTCCACAGAAGCAGTTGGTTTTCTTTTTGTCTGATCAAATTGATAGCAGGTTTCGAGATCTCTCTCTCTCTCTCTCATTCCTTTCTCTCTCTCTCTCTCTATTTTGACGATTCTTCCATCTAATCCTCACCTCCGAGGTCGTTTCCCTCGAACTCGTCGTAGAACCGTCTCGAACCGGAGCCCAGCGGTTCCCGCGTAACGACCGCTTCGCCGCCCGCGTCTCGACCGTTGGAACCGACTGGGGAGATGATCGGTCGAGCGGGGCGGGCCGATTGGGGCGTCCCCGGTCCTCGGTCGACTGGGAGATGTCGGACCTTCTCAGTGGTGCTGTGGTTCGCACCAGGTGCCCAGCTGGCAGTTCTTTTACAAGCCGGTGGGTCACTTGGCAGGGGGGGAAAGGGGTGGACGTCGCCTTGCTCTCTTTCTTTTAACATCCCTCGCCTTGTTAAGCCCCGAACTTTAGACTTCTTTGGCAGAAATGGCTGATTCGAAGTGAAACAGCTCATGGAAGAATTTCACCTATACCCTTTTGGACCCAACTAGACATAAACTGACAAACTTGTTCTTCTAACAAAGATATTCTTCCCATTTTTGTGGTTTGGAGTTCTCCACGCAAATTGGACATGCAAAACGCTTCTATTCTCCAAGTGACACCTTTGGACGACGCGCCTTTCTGCAGCATCTTCACACCAGTCGACACCTGTCCTCCCTGTCGCCTGTCAGCTTTCTCCCAGGCGCTGGGAAGATCGTGGTGCTGCTAATGAACCACGACTCCAAGGCACAAGACTTGGTTCTGAACTTCGCGGACGTCCCAGGCCTTCAGTGCACCAAGTGCCAGATGCGCTGCCTCTATGTGCCGCGCCGGTAGAAGTGTGGCCGTTTTGGTGGCGGGGATGGTGGTGGAGTGGGAGAGCAGCGGCGGTGCGTGTTGGCGGGCCAACCGAGAAGAAGGGTTTGGTGTTGAACAGCGGAGAAAGATGTACAATGTATTCTTATTATTTCAAGGAGACGTCACTCACCATGGCCAAGTCGAACAGCTTGTTCTCAGAATTGGGTGGGATCCCTCGGAGCAAAACAACAAAACCCGGGGGAGCTCCAGCAACGGCCCCTGGACCCCCCCATCCCCCCAACTCCCCCGAGACGGCCTGGCATTGATTTGGTGAGGTTTGATCGAGGCCGAGGACTCCACGGTGGTGGGTAAACATCCACCAACGTCTGGTTCTTTGGTTGGGACGGTGGACGGGTTCTCCCCTCAAAACCTCAAAAGCTGGACAGACTTCAAGTAGAGCTTAGAACCTACATGGGAAGGATCAATACTGTTGACTATTGATTGATCAACCCCCTCCCCCCCTCCAACAACCAAGGCCTCCAAAATAATATATACATATATACACTAGAAAACCAATTAGTTGATAAATAAAGAATCCTTACTTAGCTACCTCTGCAGCTACTCTGGCAATACTAAAATGAAAGGAATACAGAAACCTAACTTTGAAGACAGATGTTAAAATGAAAAGGAATCACGAAAACCTCAGATTGAAGACATCTGGAATATTACAATAAAAGGGAATCAATGGAAATGGAAATGGAACTCTTTAAATTTCAATGGACATCTGAATCCAACGACCTGCAAAATCATTCAATCTCAATGGAGTTCTTCAAAATTTCAATGGACATCTGAATCCAAAGACCTGCAAAATCATTCAATCTAAATAAAAGGAACCCCCAAACAGAAAATATTAATTCATAACACAATAAATACTATCCCACTACAACTACCCCTCCCCAAAAAAGAACTATTCTGGTGGCCTTTATTCATCTGTGCAGGAAAAAACTACATTATTCTAGGGGCGTCTATTAATCAGAGGTCAACATTAGAATGGTTCTACGATATACCGAGGTCATGCAACTGGAGCCATGCCCCAGAAGTTTCAAGACTCTATTTGGCACCATTTCGGGTCGCCTGACATTGGGTCACCTGTCGAAAAACCGTTCGATTCCCAGGGCCATCGTGTTGGACGACGTCGCTTCTCAGCTCCTCCGCTTTTCCCCTCCGAGGTGCACTCCGACTTGGGCGTCCACGATGGGAGCTTCACCGCCAAGGGGGTCCCATCGCACGACAGTCGCATGTTTATGATCTCGGTGCCCAGCGAGGCCGGGGGGGAGGCGGTGAAAAGGGCTCCGAAGAACGTCGTGACGGACCTTGACGGTGACCGTCACGAGACGAGGGACCGTCGCGCGGAGGGACCCGTCGATGCATCTGAAGCGTTTTTTCATGGACCATCATCTCTTTCAATGGGTTCGAAGTAACTCAGTCGTGGCCTGCTGGCGTTGGAGAACTGATTTCTGGTAGGGGACATCCTTCTTCCTGTCATCCAAAACCACATGGCCTCGATGATCCTCGATGCCTCCCCCTCGACAGGTCGTCTTCATGTGAAGAGCTTCTCGCTGGCTGCGGCCGTCCTTTTCTGGCTCCGGTCACCAAGCACCGGAGCCCGAGGCAGAACAGACCACGACCACACCGACTGGCCGCCAGGGCCGTCCAAAAGGCTGCGAGGGGCCGGCCGTGGGCGGTGGGTTGGGGCCGAGGGATGGTTTTTTCGTGTGTGGAGCGATGAGGAGGTGGTTTGCCATGGGGGTGACTCGCAAGATCTGAAGACGGAGCAGATGGGTCATTGAGCGACCACCCTATAGCGACCGATAAACAAAAGACAGCAGCCAGCTGGCTCCGGACTAGACTGAGTTCATCTTGCTGAACAAGTTGGATTTGCCGACGTTGGCATGGCCAGGAGACTTGGCTGAAGGACATTGACTCCTTACCTGCCAAGGCTGGGAGGGAAATGTTGCGGACATGCCACAGATGTGCCCCCCTTATGTCCTTTCGGTTGCGTGTGGCACACTCATAAGTCTCATAAGCCTCCAGCCTTGCTTTTACAGGATTGAGAAGGATTCCGCGGAGGGGGCCATATAGAAGGTGACTGTACCGTCCGTACCCAACCATTTTACATGATGAGTTTGTACTGCGGGTGCCCGGGGTGTCAATCAACCGGATACTTTTTGAGATTGCGGGACACCTCATTTCCTTGGCACATTTGCGCGCAAGTGCAGCTTGCAGATCCCATCCAGCTTGCTCTGGCAGATCCTATCCACAGTCACCAGTGATCCACCTGGTTGCGTGAGGCATTCAGTCTGTTTGGATGGACATTCATTCTCAAAGGGATTCAAAGGGATGCCCTCAGGCCGGCCGATCAGCTCGCCCCTCGCAGGATGATGAGGTGATCAGTCAGCATCGAGGCTTCTTAGAGTTGGAGCCCGGGGGCCCGGGGGAGGGGTCGACGGTCACGCAGGTGTCGACCTGGGATGTGATGGGGGGGGGGGGGGACCTGTGACGTGGGAGGAATGGAGGCCGGGCCGGGCAGGACGACCAGGAAGGGACAGGAGGCAACGGACCAGAAAGATTCAAGCGCGTTGGAATTCCGAACGTAGAAGGAGAGTGTTGTCGTGATCATGGCTGCCCAAGCGACCCGACCCATTGGGCCCAGCGACCCCGGGAAAACATGTAAAAACAGTTGATTGAGTGAAGTTTTACAAAACTAATATCATAGCATATCATAGCAGTATAACAAATCAAAATTTATTCCAAAACAACATAACAGTCCCAAAATATCAGTTTAAATATTCTTGTTTGCTTCATTTTCTTAACAATATCAAAACATAATTACCTCATTCAATTTTTCAAAATCATAGCAGTCAAAGCATACTTACCTCATTCATTTTT